TCCGCTATCGTAACAGTATTAATGTATGCGGTTTCATAACATTAAAATATAATGAAAGAATACTATAACTTGAAAACGTAAATGTCAAACAGATAAGTATATTATTCGATAAATACCATTTTTTGAATAAATACTTCAAGAAATTATATGCAATAAAAAAACAACAGAACCCTGACTAAAATTAAAGTATTATAGGCTTAAAATGACATTGAATGCTAGAGAATATATACTTTCTTATAAATAAAGACGTCATTGAAAATGTTCCGATACATATGCACGTGTCAACTTTGGCACCAAGCAGATTCATTTGTTAAATGTCTTTTTGAGACATATTTGATAATGATTTTTCAAGAATGTTAATTAAAGAGCCTGAGTGTTTTTTTTTGTTTTTTTGCTGTACTAAATGCTTTTTAGCCTGTTTTTTGTATGTGTAAGGTCAAATTTAACTGTCCGTACCTTCATCGAAGTATTCCTTGCTGATGAATGGATCTTCTTTAACTCTTTTCTCGCACCGTGTTCCTTCATATCCTGGAGGACAGTTACACATGCGAAATCTGGATCCAATGTAATGCCTAGAAAACATGGGTTGTACCCACAAAAATACTGTGTCATGAAATGCACATTTGTATGCTTACAATGTGTAAATAAACAAATACTGAAAATTAACATTATGGTTTTAGTTGTTTCTAAAGCTTCTGAACATGATTACTGGTATAATTTCATAAGTCGGTTCGTGGTTGAAAAATAATGTATATTTTTAAGACATCGCCCTAGTTTTTGCGCGAAATTCAACAAACGAACAAGAGTGTATTGTTGAGATTGTGAGTTTGTTAGTCAGTGAATCTAGTCTCTAATTTGCATCAACTACATATGTAACTTATTAGTTGTGTTGGCAACACAGTAATAGAGATACGAGAAGTATCATACGTAGGAGAAAATTAACCAGTAAATGGAATTATTAAATTTGGCCTATTATTAGGTAAACATTCGGTGGTTTATGTAAAAGTAAAACTGTAGAACTTGTAGTCGAAGAGATAAAACACTTTAGTTATCATTAAGTAAACTGGGCTTTAGATTCTTCTTTTTTACCAAATAATTCAACGGACTCTCTCTCTCCCCAACAATAGAAACTACTACAACAATATTATCGTCAAGGGAAACTTTCGAAGTTTGTTAAAATCATGTACACAACTTGCAGAAAGTTTTATCGAGAAGGAAAAGAAAGCAACTGAAAATGTCTCACCAAATGCTCGTGAACTAGTATAGTTGTTCAATTAAGAAGGTAACCTCATCAGTTCTCTAGTCATAGGCGTGCAAGTAGTAATCGATACAAATAAAATAGCTTAAGTAATCACTTTCTGACTCTTTTCAATAGTCTTAGAAACTTTAATACTGAGTACAATGGTTTACTTCATAAAATTAACACTAAGCACTTGATTATTTTGTTGAATTTCTTAACACCATTAAAATCAGACGTTAATATTATAGACATTCCTTAACGCTTCACGGAATATTTTCAACATTTTGTAAAAAGCAATTTTCACACACTGCCATTATCTCTAAATGATGGGATTTGGTTTTATAATTTAAACTTTTTCGAGCACATCAAGCTGACCTTATTTAATATGATTATAAATGCATTAAAATTGTACAGAATTCTGTTACAGATTTCATCGTTCACTCATTTATTCTACAAAAAGCTCTATTCTACTGTTAC